GACCGCGGCGGCGAGTCGCCCGGCTCCAGGGGCTCGAGAATCGGCAAGATCCGGAACTCCTTCGGCGGCCGCAGGTACGTCGTCGGGATGCGCGCCGCGGGGACGAGCGTCGCGGGCGAGTCGCGGCCGTCGCGCGCGACGAGGATGGGCCTGTGTGGAAACGAAGCTCAGCCGAAGAGTCCGGCGCAATCCGTTCAATTACGCGCACATTGAAGTCTGGTTGAATATTTGATTTCCACACAGGGATGGGCTCGAGCGGCGGCGGCGTCGCGCAGTCGAAGCGCTGCTCGTCGGTCATGGACCGCGCCCGGTCCCAGGACGGGAGCTGGCGCCACTCGGAAAAATGCAAAACGGGCATGACCTCCGCGCGCCAGTCCGCGTCCTCGATCGCGCCGTGGAGCCGCCGCGGCGTCGGGAGCGACGCGACGACCCCGTCCCCGACGACGACGTCCTCGAACGAGTCCTGGCGCGACACCGCCGGGACCGGCCCGCGGCGTTCCACGGGGACCGCCGGTCCGCGGCGTTCCACGGGGACCGGTCTCGAGTTCTTCTTCTTCGGCTCGGCCTTGGCCGAAGAAGAAGAAGCCTTCGCCTTCTTCCGACTGCCCGTCGCAATCCCTTTCATCGTCGCAGGCGGTTGATGCCGATTCGGCGGTTGCCCTATGGCATCGCCGGAGGATATAGGCGCGCGTCGAATAGAACTGTTTGGACACGGAGGCGCGCGAACGCGAGACGGCGCGGCGTTTCCGAACGCCGCGCGAGCGCACGAGTCCGCGTGCTCCGCGAGCAGGTGGCGAAAGATCTTGATTCCGCAGATCGGACACTCTGCGAGGGAGCGCGGGGGACGCGAGGTGAGCTCCAATTCGGTGCGCGCGGCAAAGGGGTTGGTGGCGCGACGAATTGGGTACCGAACGCATCGAGACACGCGTCGCATGCCGGGGCTTCGAGAGCTCGCGATTCGAACGAAACGAGCCCCGGCCCGAACCGGCCGATTCGCACGGATTCCGTTTCGGGGCTCAAGCGAAACGATCCGAAACGATCCGCGACGTCCCACCGCCGGGAGCATGATCGCGTGACCAGTCAGACAGGCCGGATCTCGGAAGCCGCGTCGCGCCGCGTCCGCGACGCCCGACGGGTTTTCGTCGACGGGCGGACGACGCGCGATCAAGGGCTTCGCCGGCCCTCTCAACGCGTCACGTGCTTCATATCAACTCATAAATGGCCGCAGAAGAGCGCGCGGTGCGATTTGGGGCCTCTCTCGCGTCGCGGGGTCCGACCGCCGAGCGGTCCGATTTCGAACGAACGAGGTCGCTCGCTTCGGGCGGGGCGCGCGACCCCCCGTAAAAACGACGCCGGGATCGTGCCTCCGTAGGCCAGGTCTCGGCCCTCGCGAGCGGGGGACTCGTCATTCTCAGCGCCCGCAGTTTTGGAATGGCCTCCGGCGTCCCGGGCTTGGTCCGGGGGTCCGGCCATAGGCGCACGGAGCGAGTTCGGCGCCCCCCGATGCGCCCTTTCTTCTGGCGACGGCCGAGGGGCCCTAGGGGCCGATGCGAGCGTCGGGCGTCCTAAAAACGGCTCAGCGGACCCGCGGGGAGCAACATCAGCTCCACGTTTCGTCATCGCCGCCCGTTGAGAGAGTTCGCGTTGACAGGGTTAGGATTGGGGGTCGGGCCGCCGGGGGAGGGGCCCAGCCGCGGGTTGGCGACCTGAGGACGGCCGGGACCGCCGGGACTGCCGCGCGGGACCGCCCGGGACGCGCGTAGGACCTGGGAGGACTCGGGAGGGACGTCGCCGGGACCGCGCCGGGACCGCGCCGGGACGGCCGGGACCGCGCGGGACCGCCCGCCGGGACGGCCCCAGGACGGCCCCGGGACGGCCCCGGGACGGCCCCGGGACGGCCCCAGGACGGCGCCCAGGACTCCCGGGACGCCCGGGACGCCCGGGACCGGAGCCGGGACGGCGCCAGGACCAGCACACTCACCCCGGGACGCTCAGGACGCCGGTTGATTTTACAAATTTCGGAGAGCACGACGTATGCTCTCGCAACGACGGGCCTTTGCGCAGCGCGCGCAGCGCGAATGCGGCATGTGCGGCGTGCGCGCGTTGCAGGCGGAGGCCTCAGCACCCTTGCACCGCCGTGGAAGCGTTGCAACGCGGTGCAAAGCGAGTTCGGCGGAGCGCGGGCCGGATACGGAATGAGCTTTGGCGACGAGGATTTTCGGCGCGAAGCGACGTCCGTCCGCGCGATGCCCGACGCGTGCCGCCCCCGCGCGTGACTCGCGGCCACGACGCGCGTCGCCGAGGTCGGGCCGCTACTCCGCGCGGCCGCGCGTCGCGCGGCCGCGCGCACTCGATCGGGGTCGAACCGTCGCGGACCGCGCGCGCCCAAAACGATTCACGGACCTGCGGGGCTGGTGAGGGTCTCCCCAGCATGGGAGGAGGAACACCCGATGACCCCGTCCTGAGGAGACGTTAAAAGCTCGGGCCGGAGCGGGATGACGCAGTTCGGTCACTGCCATCCGTTGCACGCTCCGGTGCGCCGAGACCGCACACGGGACACCGACCCGGTGGGTCGAGGACGCGCACGGCCTTCGACTCGTCGGACGCCGCCTACCAGGATGTCAAATTCACGAAAAAAGTCCTCACGCGGGGCCCCCAGCGCGACTCTGGGGGCACAAAAAGTCCCACGCGGCGGCTGGCCACCTTCGGCCAACTGGGGTAGACTCCCCCAGTCGAACAAAAAAGTCCGTCGCCCGTTCGGGGCCGCGTCGATGCCCGGCCCGAGGCGAGCTCGAGCTCGCGCTCAGGTGGGCCGGCGGGCGCGGTCCTCGCGGAGCGCCAAGCTCCGAGGGGCGGCGACGAATCTCGGTGGCGTGGCGACCCACCCGGACACCAGCGCTCCGGAAACTGGCCCCACTTCAATCTACGACGCGGAAACTAGCTAGTAGGACGCGCGCGCGCGTGGTCGGAGGTCGGCCGGCCGGAGGCCGTGAGCGCGCGCGCTCTCCGCGCGTTCTCTACGCGCGCTCCGCGCGGGAGCGCGTGCTCCGCGGCGTCGGAGATCGTTCGGCTGATGGCGCGCGCGTCGGGCGCGGACCGCGTCGGCGTCGCTCCCAGGCGAGCGAGCATGCTCGCGAGGACTTCGTCGCGTCGCCGGCGGAGAGCGCGATCGCGTCGAGCGCGACGGACTCGCCGGCGCACGGCGACATCGTCGCCGTCGCCGCGTCCGTCGACTTCGTCGCCACGACGTGGGCGCCGCGCGCGCCGCGCGCACCCGTCGCGCTCGACGCGTCGAGCTCCTCGTCGGCCCGCAGACCGCGCGACGAGCGACGGCGCAGCGCTTCGTCGCATCGTGCGCGCGGTGCGTACAGCGCTCGAAGTCGCGGACTTCATGCGCGACGCAAAGCAGCTGAGATGGCACGCGGCCCGCTGTGCGCTGCAGCACAGCGGCGCCGAGCTGCACTCGATGAGGGCCGCCTCCGCCGGCTCGGTCCCGACTCGTCCCGGCTCGGTCCTGGCCGGGGCCAAGAGGTCCTGCGGCGTCCTGGGCCCAGGACGGCGCCGGGACCCGGCCAGGACCCGGAAAGGATTCGCCAGGACCGCCGGGATTTGCCAGGATGGCCGGGAATGTCCCGGGACTCCCGGGATGGCCGGGTCGGGCCGGACTCCGCCGGGACTCCCCGGGACCGCGCCGGACCGCGCGGACCGCGCCAGGACCGCCCCAGGACCGCGCCGGACCGCGCCCGGACGCCCCGCCGGGACGCCCCCGGGACCCCGCGGGAACCCCGCAGGACTTTACTCAGGACCGCCGGGCCACCAACCCGCGGCTGGGCCACTCGGGGGTAGAGCTCGCGCGAGCGCCGCCGGGCACGACACTTCCACAAAGTGCACGAGCATAGCTCTCCGCGCCGTGCTCTCTTTCCAAGGGAACCCTCGACCGCCGACGCCGCCCAGGACTCGCGACGCCGTGGGCCGTTCGCGCGCCCCCTCGCCGATGAACCACGTCAAATCAAAACTTACTGGTAGTAGGACCCCTCACCCCACCAGTTCTTCCCCGTTCGCGAGACGTCGACGTGTGCCTCGTCGTGCGCGTGCGCCTCACGAGCACCATGCACCGCGTCGTGCGCGGTCGCCGCGACGTGCGCGTGATGTATGTCGTGATGCGCGTCGTGACGCGCGTCGTGCCGCAACTCCGCGCCCCACGTCTCCGCGATCTGGCGTGCCTCCGCTGCATCTCGCACCACGTGGACCGGCGCCGGCGTGTCGCAGAGCGAGATGCACCACTGCGCCGTGCGGCGCGCGAGCGGCGAGCTCACGGCGACGCAGACGCCCCGGACGCGGCGGTCGAGCGGTTCCGAGTTCTCGGAGCGGCTCATCCAGCGGTTGCCGTAGAGCAGCGCCTTGCGGCTCGACAGGCCGAGCTTCATGCTGCGCAGGTCGTAGAAGACGGTGAAGGGCGTGTCCCGGTCGAGGTGCCGCCGCAGCATCGCCAAAAGCGCGCGCATCTGGGGCTCGTCGACGACCGCGGGCTTCAGCTCGATGTGAAAGCGATCGAGCGGCAGCGCGCCGCGCTCCTCGACGACGGCCTCGAAACAGGCGCGGACATCGTGGTCGAGGACGACGTCGGTTCCGTGCCGCAGCGTCGACGGCAGGGACGGTGGTCGCTGCAACGCGCGCGCGGTGGTTAGTACGCTGAGCAATAACAGCGGCAGGCGCGTATAGCGCGATTGAGTCTTAATAGCGCGATTGAGTCTTCTGGACTGCGGCATACTTCACCGTTCTGAGTGCTCCAACATCGCTCCCGGCGTCGCGTGCAAGGTGACGTCAACATCCCGCCCGGACGCAGTCGGGCGCGCATCCCCCTCTATAGCTTGGTCAACATCCACGGCCGGGACGCGTCCGAGTCGCGCGAGTGCCCGCACGGCGACGCATCCGAGTCCGAGACCCCCGCAACGCCGACGCATGCACGGAAATAAAACACCCACGAGCACCCCCTCGCCTCAAAGCCGCGTCGCGGTGCCGTCCGCGCGGCCGACGACGACGATGGGCGGGTTCTCGTCCGCGGGCAGCAGGCCGTGCTCGACGACGCCCGCGGTGCGCGACAGGTCGTCGGCCGCGCGGCGCACGTCGCGGAGGGGCGCCTCGAGGAAGAGGTCCACGATGAGGTTGCCGTTGTCCGTCTTGTAGACGGCGGCGCCGTCGTCGCCGGGCATGGCGCAGCCGGGGAACCCCGCGGGCGCGGCGCCGACGCGGAGCCGCGCGACGGCCGGCTGGAGCGACGGCAGGTTCGCGAGCTTGCCTGGGCAGGACAAGGGTGATTCAACGTCGCTTCAACGTGAGTGTTCCGCGCGCGCGCGTTCCGGAAAAAGCATCCACGCTTCGAGACCAATCCGAGAGATGATCGCTCGTCCAAAAATCAGCCGAAACGAGTGGAAAATGGCCGAGATATGAGCCTTTGAAGTTGGGAATTTCGCTCTCTTGTCCTGCCCTGGAGCTTGCGCAGGGTGCGCTGGTGGTACGCCGGCGCGATCTCCACCTACGAGGACCGCCGTCGCGGCGAGAACGAACGAGCGCGGACGCCGACGGGAGCGACGGGGATCGGGTACGTGCTGCCGACGGCGTCGCAGACCTTCCCCTCGGCGCAGCAGACGACCCAGGCCTTGGCCGCGTCGCGGAGGAGCTTCTCCCGGAGCATGGCGCCCTTGCCGCCCTTGAGCACGTGCTTCTGCCCGTCGACGGCGTCGCAGCCGCCGATGGCGAGGTCGACCGACGCGTCCGAGTCGTGGCGGAGCGTCGGGAGCTTTAACGTCTCCAGCAGCCGCGCCGTCGCGTCCGACGTCGGCAGGCAGAGCACGTCCTTGAGCGCGCCGCGCTCCAGCTTGTCGGCGATGCGCCGCAGGCAGAGCTCGACGGTCTTTCCCGTGCCGACGCCGAGGATCATGCCTATATACGGGAGACGCGTTTCGGCGTCGGGTCGCGCGAATTCGTGCGCGGCGCAAAGGACCGTCGCCCACGAGCCCGTCGACGGTCTCCGCCGCCGCCGCCTCGGCCGCCGCGTCCGCGGCGGCCGCGCGCGGCGGCGTCGGCGGCCGCGGCGGCGCGGCGGCCGCGTCGACCGTCGCGCGCCGCACCGTGCCCGCCGGGAGCTCGTCCAGGGCCGGGTACGACGCCTGGGCGCCGCGCTTCAGCACGGACCGCGACGCCACGGCGACGGCGCCCGGGAGCGCGTCGGCCAGCGACGCGCCCGCCGCGACGCCGTGCGCGAGCGCGCCGAGGAACGCGTCGCCCGCGCCGGTCGTGTCCGCGACGGCCGCGGCCTCGAAGCCCGCGGGCACGGGCACCCACACGGTCTCGCCGGCGCGCACGAGGCAGCAGCCCCGCGCGCCCAGGGTTAACACGACGTTCTTCGCGCCCTTGGCGAGAATCGCCCGGGCCGCGACGACGCATTCCTCGTCCGTGCTCGTCTCCAGACCCGTCAGGATGGCCGTCTCCGTCTCGTTGGGGCACACGACGTCGCACAATGCGAAGAGCGCGTCGGGCAGCGGCTCCGTCGGCGCCGGCGCCGCGTTGAAGACCGTCAACGCGCCCGCGTGTCGCCCGCGCTCCAGCGCGCGCATCGTCGTCGCGAGCGGCACCTCGAGCTGCGTGAGCACGACCCTGGCGCCCGCGATGGCCGCGTCCGCGTCGTCGACGTCCGCCGGCGCGAGCTCGCCGTTGGCGCCGGCGACGATGATGATCTGGTTCTCGCCGGCGCCGTCGACGACGATGTGCGCGATGCCGGACGCGGCGCTCTTCGTTTGGGCGACGTGCGCGGCGTCGACGCCAAAGGACGCGAAGTTGCCCAGCGTCGACGCGCCCAGGGAGTCCGCGCCGACCTTGGCGACCATGGACACGCGGCTCCCCAGAAGCGCCGCGGCGACGGCCTGGTTCGCGCCCTTGCCGCCGAAGAGCTGCTCGAAGCGCGAGCCCAGCAGGGTCTCGCCGGGCCTCGCGAAGCGCGGCGCGCAGGTCACGAGGTCGACGTTGGCGCTGCCGACGACGACGACGGCCATGGTTGCACGTGTGGCAGCGGTTGACAACTCGTGTCTTGCTTGCTTGCAGTGCCGGCGCGACGCGACGACCTGGAGCCTGCGGCGCGATGTGAGATGCCACTGCTCCTCCGCGGCTTCATCGACCTTGAACCACTCTGAGAGCATGGTGGGACGAGGATTTTTGTGATGCGGCTACTCCTCCCCCGCTCTCTCTAGCACATTAGACGGGTGAGCTCGCCCGCGACGGGCCGCTGCCCCCACCGCTCTGTCTAGCGCATTAGACGGGTGAGCTCGCCTGCGCGGGCAAGCGGGCCCCTGTGTGATGCGGCTGCCCCGCCGCCTCCAGGAGCCCAAGCCCTGGGAGGACGACGCGCACGTCCACGTGCCCATCATCTCCATCAAGAAAGGCCACGCCGGAAGAAAAGCACGACAACAGGTGGAGTACGCGGGCATGCTCGTCGCGCTCGTAGCCTTCGTCAGCGCCTGCGGCGTCCTCTACGAGTGGCTGAGGAAACGACGACGAGAGCGACACGTGCTGCCGTCGCTCGTCCAGCGCGCCAAGGAGTCGGCGGCGACCAATCCCGGGCGCGCGGCGCGCGGCGAACCGACGCTGCGTTTGGGCGGCGAGGCGAAGCCGAAGCCCGTGCCGCGCGGCACGCGCGGCGAGCCGGAGCTGCGGCTCAAGAAGCCGCCGCCGAAGCCCGCGGAGCCGCGGAACCGCGGCGAGCCCGCGCTGCGGCTCAAGAAGCCGCCGCCGAAGTCGGGCCCGCGCACGCGCGGCGAGCCCATGCTGCGGATGAACTCGCAGGCGCTCTTCAAGGTCCACCGGAAGAAGTACCGCGAGGAGCCCGAGCTGCGCTTCAAGCCCATCGACGAGGAAAAGGCCGTGACTTAAATCAACCTCGTCGAGGAAAAGCAGCCACTTAAAAGGAACAACCTAGGAGATGGCGCACTTGCATTTCTGGCCCTCGTCGAGCTTGTCGTACTTGGGCATCTTGCCGCCGAGCACGGCCTTCGCGAGCCACTTGAAGTAGCTCAGCTTCCGTCCGTGCTTCGCCGCCTCCTGCTGCTCCGAGAGGAAGTCGTCGGTGATGTCGACGCCCGGGATGCTGTCCATGTACTTGTTGTAGTTCTCGACGATCGCGTCCTCGTCGGTGCACATCAGAAACGACACGAAGCATTTGCGGTGCTTGGCCCGGACGATCTTGCGCAGACCGTCGAAGCTCGTGTCGCTGGGCACGCCGTCCGTCATCACCAGCACGAGCACGTCCGTCTCCGCGCCGTGGCCCTTCGGGTGCCACGAGCCGTCGAGGACGGGCTGCATGCGGCCCATGAGCGGCGTCGTGCCGTGGGGCGACCTCCCGGTGAAGAGCCGCACGACCTCCTCGGGGCGGTGGATCTCGTGCCAGGTGGCGTCGTTGAGGAACTGGACGTGGAAGCCGTCGGCGTGGTCGACGACGAGCAGCATCTTCGCCAGCGACGTGAGCGTGTTCTTGAGCTCGTCCCAGCGCGTCGTGTGCGCCTTAAAGTCGGAGATGGCGTTCATGGAGCCGCTGTCGTCGGCGATGACGACGATGTCGGCGCCGGAGACGCTGAGGAGGTCACTGACCATGGCCTCCGGGAGATCCAGTTCTTGCTGCATGGCGTGCACGCGCTCCGCGAGGGAGATCTGCGCCGGCGCCACGACGTCGCCGTCGACGACGCCCAGCACCTCGGCCGCGGGCGCGGCCATGGTGGTTCGGCACGACGACGAGAGGCGGTGGCTCTCCGAGAGCTGGAACGGCGCCGATGGGCTGCCCGAAGTTGCCGTGCACATTGACATACCGGTTGGCGCGCCCAAACATCGCATAATGGCGGCAGCCCGCCTGCTTGTGGGCTGCGTGCTGCTCGCCAACGCAGTCGCGGGCGGCCCGGCGCTGTCCTGCGCGCCCGGCGCGGCGGCGTGCCGCGCCTGCAGCAAGCACAAGCACGGCGCCAACGCCGTCGAGGCGACGCAGGAGGAGGTCCTGGCGCTGCGCGCCTTCGCCCTCGCCGCGGGCAAGTCCTGGTGGATCGACATGCGCGGCGACCACCGCGAGCAGGAGCGGGACCACTTCGCGGCCATGGGCGCCTGGGCGCGCAAGACCTTCGGCGACCGGGAGCGCGCGCGGCCCGTCGTCTACCCCTTCGGCGGCGCGGACCTCCAGACGTCCGCGACGATCTTCGACGGCGCGGCGTCGCACACGCTCGTCGACGCGCTGCCCGTCGGCGACGTCACATGTTTTCTCGATGCGAAATGCCGCCAGCGGGCGACGGACGCGGCCCAGGCCTGGTTCTCGAAGCTGCACATGCGAGGCTTCCGCTTCTCGGAGACGGCCGAGTCCGCGGAGATCTTGAAGGACGTGGGCATCCTGCCGGCGCTGCTCGTCGCCCTGGAACTCCTCTACCACCGCGTCGTCGGCGCGACGTTCTGGTCCGCGGGCGCCACGGCGGGCGTCACGCTGCACACCGCGCGGCGGCGGAGCCCCGAGCTCGCGTGGTCCTGCGGCACCTTCGAGTACGTCTCCGCCGCCGTGAAAAACGAGGCGGACTGGGCGGAGATCCTCGACGCCGTCTCGGCGCCGCCGCCCTGGAGCGTCCTCCTCAAGGCCGCGCCGCGCGACGGTCCCCAGGCGGCGCCGTGGTTCGCCGAGTCGCTCGTAGAGCGGTCCGCGGTCGTCGTCCAGGACGCGACGGGCCCCGGCGTCGCCGCTTTCGCGGACGTCGGGTGGGTCCTGGAGCCCTTCGGGTCCTTCGGGAACAGCACGCGGGAGCGTTCGGAGGTCGCGCACGCGGACAACGGCGACGCGCTCGCGCAGCTCTACGCGCACGGCGTGATCCAGCGTCCTGCGGCCGCGACGATTTTCGAGAGATGTCGGCTGGGGAAATATCGTTACCGTCGTGCTATCTAGGCATGATCCTGCGCCCCGGCGAGGAGCCCCACGGCGACCCCCACACCGCCGGCGCCCTGGGGTTCTGCTTCGGCGCGTGCGTCCACGCCGCCGACGGCGTGCTCGTCGTCGCGGCCCGGGAGGCGCCGGACGCCGTCGCGCCGCCCGGCCCCGGGCTTTTGGTCGTCCTCGGCGACCACCGCCCCGAGGTCGCCGCCGTCGCCCTGGCCCTCGACTCGCTCGAGGGCTGCGCCGTCGCGCGGAACGCGACGCCCGTGCGCCGGCTGGAAGAGACCTACGCGGCGCTCGCCGCCGCGGGCGCGCGCGTCGTCGGGCTCCCGTTGCTGTGGCACGAGGTCAAGGGCGACATGGAGTTCGCCGTGCGCTGGCTCCAGGGCAAGGGGGCGGCGACCTACGTGCACGTGTCGCGGCGCGACGGCGTCGTGAACCTCGTCGCGTCGCTCGAGCCCAAGGTCGCGGCGCAGGAGCTGATTTTGGACGACCGCGACAAGATCGAGGGCATGACCAAGGTCGCGCCGCCGCCGCCCCTGGCGCTCGACGCGGCCAAGTACGCGTCCTACGCCGCCCACTACGCGGCGCAGGAGCGCCACCTGCGCTGCTGGTCCCGGAGCTGGGCCCCCGCGGGGCTCCACGTGTTTCTGGAGGATTTCGCGCGCGACCCGGCGAACGCGCTCCGCGCCGCGGCGGCGCACCTGGGGCTGCCGCCGCCCGGCGACGCGAGCCGGAGGGTCGGGGAGGCCGTGCAGCGGGCCTACGCCGAGGAGCGGCCCTGCCGGCTGCGCATCGCGGACTACGGCGCGGTCCTGGCCGCGCTCGCCGCCGCGGGCCACCACGGCTGCGACGAGTGCAAGGCCGCGGACTTTTAAAAGCGTGTTAGGCCGGCGGCCCGCGCGTGAGGCGGCTCGCGAGCTCCTCGGCGATGCGCCGCCGCCGCTCCTTGGCGGAGACGGGCTTGGGCGCGGGCTTGGGCGCGGGCCGCTCGCGCGTCGGGTCGAGGCGGCTCAGGTGGCTGTCGAGCGTGTAGGAGACGCTCTTCGCGCGCCAGTCGATCTTCCGCGGCGGCTCGACGAAGGAGCGGATGGACCGCTTCCCCGCGACGTCCGCGGCGCCGCCGCCGCTCGGCGGCCGCAGCAGGCCCGCGGGCAGGTCGACGATGACGCGGAGCTCGCCGCCGCCCTGGGCGTTCGCCAGGCGGAAGGCGTCGCGCCAGTCGCCGTCGCTCAGCAGGATGATCGTGCGCCGGTTCACGGGGTGGCGGTAGCAGATGGAGAAGTCCGGCGCGTCGAGCACGCGGTCCGACGGCGCGACCCCCAGCGCGCCGCACGCGGCGCGCCCGAGCGCGCGCAGCGTCGCCGCCTCCTCGAGGAACACGGTCACGGGCACGGCGGACGTCTGCGAGTCCTCCTCGTGCTTCCGCGACGCCTTGACGTAGAGCGCGAGGCTCGGACCGCATGGCGCCTTCCGCGGCGACTTTTTGGAGGTCTTCGGCGCCGCGGCCGCGGGCGCGGTCGCCTCCGCGAGGCTCGGCTGCTTCGCGTCCGCGTCGGAGCTCCGCTCGGCGACGCGGGGGACCTGGGACGGCGCCGTCTTCTGGCTCCGCAGGGACGGCGCGCCGAGCGAGTCCTTGGACTCCTTCTTCGTGACCTTGACGACGGGCGCGGACCTGGGCGGGGGACACTCGTGATTCACGTACGTGAGCGTTCCGCGCGCGCGCCATCTCCCACAAGCATCCACGCGTCAAGACCGTTCCGAGCGATGATCGCTCGTCCAAAAATCAGCCGAAACGAGTGGAACACGGCCGAGCTCGGAGCCTTTGTGAAGTCGGGCACGTCGCGCTCTCGTCCCGCGCGGGCGCGGACCGCGGCTGCGGCACGCCCTCGTCCTTCTCGCGGCTCAGCACCTCCCGCAGCTCCGTGCGCACGAGCCCCAGCGCCGAGCCGATGGTGAAGGGCGTGCCCGGCGCCACGGAGGACGCGCGCGACGAGTGCGCGTACGACGCGACGGAGATGGACTCGCCGTCGTCGTACTTCGTGGCCATGATGCGCTCCTGCTCCCTGGGGATGGATCCGGGGCCCGACGAGTCGCCGTTGCGCGAGAACTTCGCGGAGACGTTCTCCGCGTCCTCGTAGAGGCTCACGTTGAGGCGGCCGTCCGCGTCGAAGGTGCCGTTGACGAAGAACGGCGACGTCGACGTCAGCGCGGGCGACAGCGCGGACCCGGGCGACCCGAGCGGGTCCGCCGCGGCCGGTGCGTCGTCGAGCGCGAGCGCGCCCGGCGCCGGCGCCGGCGCGAGCGCGTGGGGCGCGCCCGGCGTCGTCGTCGACGCGGGCGACAGCGCGGACGGCGCCGTCCTCTCGGACCGCGGGCTCGAGACGCCGGGCGTCGGCGTCGGGCTGTAGAGGTGCACCGTGAGCGCCCGCGACGCCGGGCGGTCGGCGTCGCCGGGGGCGCCCCTGGAGAGCTCCGCGTAGGACCGCTGGGACCGCGCGGACCCTAAATCGTCGTCGTCGCCGCGCCGCCTGTGTGGAAATCAAATCTTAAACCCGACTGCAATGTGCGCGTATGCGACAGTTTCGACGCAATCTCTTCCGCTGTGCTTCGAGAACTCGACGAGAGCAATCAATCCGTCCAAAAATCAGCCGAATCGACTTCGATTTGACCGAGCTCGAGAGGTTTGAAGTTTTTGCCGGACAGGGCGTTCCACTGGTTGATTTCCACACAGCGCGCCGCCGGTCCAGCTCGTCCTCGACGACGAGGCTCCGGTCGTCGACGAGGAGCCGCGGCGACCGCTTCGGGAGGTCCGGCACGTCGAAGACGCGCTGGGCGAGGGGGAGCTGGGACACCGGCGCGCGCCGGAAGGCGCCTCCGGGCGACGGAAGCGAGTAGTACTCGACGGCGCCGAACGACGGCGCGCCTGGCAGCTCGTCGAGCGCCGCGTGGCGGCCGCGCGCGGTCCCGACGAGCGCGTCGGCGAACCTGAAGCCCGGCTTGAGGACGCGGCTCCCGTAGGGGTTCGTCGCCGCGTCGTAGTCGCCGCTGACCTCGAGGACGCGCGCCGCTTTGGCGCGCGCGAGGAAACCGGCGGGGAACGAGTCCGTGAGGAGTTTGTTCGACGTGCGCTCGGGCAGCCGCAGCGCGCCGAGCTTCGGGACGGGCGTCGCGTGCGTGAAGCGCGCCAGCGGGTCCCGGTCGATCTCCCGGTCCTCGAGCGGCCGCAGCCGCGTCGTCAGGCGCCGCGCGTCGGCGCGCGGCGCGCGCTCCGGCGCCTCGCCGGGCTCGGCGGTGTCGCCGAGCTCGGGCATGGAGCTCGAGTACTGCAGGTGGCTCGACGACGCCTGGCCGCTGGAGGCCCCGTAGGACGGCGCCGGCGCCCAGGGCGTCGGCGACACGTGCTGGGGCTCGCGCGTCCCGTTGGCGGAGATGAGCACGCGCAGCTTGTGGCCCCCGGGCGTCTCGATGGTCCCGTTGCCGCCCGTGCCCCGGCTCAGCACCGAGTCGTCGAAGAACATGGTCGTTCTTGTATGCTCGAAGCTGCCTCACGCCATCGTCCGTCGCGTTAAAGCCAGGCTAAGATTTGGTTTGCACTTTCTCGCCGCGTGAGGGCGAGAGGCTGCCCCATGGGCCCAGATGTCAGACAGGCGCGCCCGCAGCGACGCAGCGCTCGACGACAGCGACGAGCGCGAGACACGATGGGTAAGAAGTCGCGCAAGCCGCCGAAGCAGGCCGCCGACGCGCCGCCGCCGCCGCCGCCGGCCCGCGAGGTCGGCGCGGCCGACGACGACACCTCGCTCTGGCACGGCGCGCGCGAGCGGTTCCACGCCGGCGCCGTCGTCGCCGTCGCGGAGGCGGACCCCGAGGGCCCCTTCGCCGGCGGCGTCCGCGTCGTCCGCTTCGACGGCGCCGGCGGCAAGTGGGTCTGCGAGGTGCCGCGGATGCCGGGCCGGCTCGTCGGCCTCGGCGAGGACCGGCTATCGCTCGACTACGCCGCGCGGCCGGCCAACGCCGCGGCGCCGCCGTCGGCGGCCTGCGCGTTCTCCGACGCCCAGGGCGGCTGCGGCCGGGGGCTCGTGGCGACGGCGGCGCTGCGGCGCGGCGCCGAGCTCTTCACGGAGTACCCCTTCTTCGTCGTCGACCGCCGGAGCCACCGGTCGCGCTGGGCGGCCTACGTGCAGCTGCGGGCGAGCGCGAAGCGCGGCGACGGCGACGCCGCCGCGGCGCTGGCGGCCTTCGACGAGCTGCGCTACGACGTCGCGACGGCGCCCAAGGAGGCCACGGTCGAGGCCGCGGGCGCGATGGTCGACGGCGCGCTCGAGCAGCTCCGGTCGCTCCTCGGCGCCGACGCCTTCGCCGCGCGCCGCGAGGCCGAGGTAAAGACCGTCGTCGACGTGCTCCGGAAATTCGAGGGCAACCAGTTCCAGTTCGAGCACGGCGGGCCCGGCGTCGGCGCCGCGTGCGCTCTGTACCGGCGCGTCGCCCGCGCCAACCACTCGTGCGCGCCGTCGCTCGTCCTCGCGCCGGCGCGGCTGCCGCAGCGACCGGGGGAACGCGTCGCGGGCGACGGCGGCGTGGCCGTGCGGACCTGCTGCGACGTCGCGGCCGGCGAGCCCCTCACGATCTGCTATGGCGCCAAGGAGCTCGTCGGCTGGGACGTCGCGAAGCGCCGGGCCTACCTCGAGAAACACAACGGCTTCTTCTGCCGCTGCGTGCGCTGCGAGCTGGAAGGGGCGTCGTAAATGAGGCTCGCGAGAGCTGCTTGAGGGCAACTTGAAGATCTCGAGCTCGACCGATGATGTCCGACGCGAGCCTGCTCTGGGCACTCATCGCGGCGCGCGCCGCCGCGTTGGCGCCGGCACCGCTCAAAACGACGGTCGTCGTCGACGTCGACGACACGGTCAAGTCGTCCGGCAACGTGCGCCTCGCGGGCATCCCGCTCGGCGGCATCGACGGCCAGTACGACCGCGGCGACTTCTACCCGGGCATGTTCGACTTCGCCTACGAGCTCGGCGCGCCGGAGCCCGTCGCCGTGCTGACGGCGCGCGCGGAGGAGTTCAAGTTCGCGCTCGAGCTGAAGGAGAGCGACAAGGTCGTCGCGGCGTTCCGCGACTGCGGCCGGCGGAACGGCGCCGCGGGCTGGGGCGTCGGCCTGGACCGCGTGCTCTACGGCAGCGTCCACGAGTGGGTCTTCCAGGACTTCAAGGGCTGGGTCAAGTTCCAGAACTTCGAGCGGCTCGCGGCGCGGCTCGGCGACCTGCCCCGAGGCGACGGCGAGGAACCGGCGCGCCGCTACGTCTTCGTGGGCGACACGGGCGAGCTCGACGGCCAGGCCGGCGAGATCATGCTCGCGCGGCACCCGGACCTCTGCGCCGCCGTGCTGCTCCACTGCGTCGGCACGGACGCGCGCGGCCGCGGCGTCGCGGTGCCGGACGGGTACGCCGTGAACGGCCGGCCCGTGCGCTTCTTCCGCACGTACGTCATGGCCGCCTTCCACGCGCTGGACCTGGGGCTCATGGGCGAGGAGGGATTTGACCGCGTGGTGGAGGCGGCGCTCCGCGACGTCGGCGACGCCGACGACGGCCGGGGAAGGCGCGCGGACGTCGTCGCGGACGTCGAGGACGCGAGGGAGCGGCTCGCGCGGCGACATTAGTACCCTTAGCTGCTGATGTCATCGCATTCCAGGGACCTCCCTCGGTTTGATGTGCTTGCGTCCGCTCGCACGGCCACATTAACTAAGCCTAGACATTATTTCACCACCAGCCCCAGCCACCGATCGGGGCGGAACGGGCGGGCAGGACGGAGGCCCGGTCATAGAAGTCCAGGATGTGCTTGAATACCTCGTCGGGCGGCGTCGTCTGCGCGGTGCTGCTCGCGAGGCGCTTGGACCGCGTCCGCGCGGCCGCCGCGCCCGCGACGGGCTTCGGCGCCGTCGACCCGAAGAGCCGCAGCAGCTTCGGCGGCGCGTGCGCGCGGCCGGCCAGGCAGAGGTAGCGCATGGTCCACAACTTGACGCGCGGCTCGCGGACGACGCGCACGTAATTCTTCCAGGACCCAGCCCGGTCGACTGCTTCGAGCAGATCGATGATGTGGGAGAAATGACAGCGCCAAACCTCGCCTGCGATGCGATACCCGCCGCCATGCTCTAATTCGTCGTAACACTCCAGCAGTTCAGACGCGATCTCCGCTGCGGTCTTGTTGTGCTGAAAATGTCCAACCGGAGTAGCTGCCAATGTCGTATCGGCTCCGTGTTTCAGCAGAACGCGAATGGTCTCAACTGAGCCTGTCTTTGGCTGGCCACGGGCGCCATCGTAGCAGGAGCGAGACTCGTAACCGTCGCTGAGATCCATCAGTCGGAGCATGAGGGGTGTAGAGCCGCGGTTGGTTCGAACGTCGACCTGCGCGCCGGCGGCGACGAGAAGGTCGATGATCTTCTCAGAACGGTGCGTAAGTGTCATACGGGAAGTCCACGGGGCTACATTTCTCCACGTCTCCTCTGAGCGGTCGCTCGCGACGATGTGCAGAGGACGCTCGCCGCGTTTATTATCGCGGTTCGGATCGGCGCCCCGCTCGAGCAGAAGGCGGATGACTTGGAGCTGCGCATCCAGAGGCACGTCCGCGACGGGCTCGTCGTCGTCGTCGTCGTCGTCCTCTTTCATCCACGGCTCAGGCTTCTCAAGCATCGCGATGTTCAGCAGTGTATCTTGGGAGTGCTCATCATCCATGTGTCCATTCACGTCGTCGCCAAGATCAAGGGCGTCCCGCAGGGCGCAGACGTCCCCCGACCGCACGGCGGCGACGGCGGCGGCGGAGAGGACCATGTTTTGGGTGCTCTTTTTCTTAGCCATAGGCGATCCACGCTTCGCGCCTTGCTCTCGATTGCGGCTGCCAGTGTCTTCACCTTGGCGATTCGCCTCACTCGCGAGGACTCACCGTGCGGACGCCGCCGCGGCGCGTGCAGCAGATCTACGCACGGCAGACGCCCGAATCCCCCACGCCGCAGCGGTCCTCCCTTAGCTACGTAGCATCCCCGCGCCGCCGCCGCGTCTCCGCGTGCTTCACGAGGCGCCGCGCCTTGCGCGCGTCCTTGGCCGCGGCGGCCCAGGTCGACGCGAGCGCGTTGGAGAGGACCTTGGCCTGGGTCCGCGAGAGCGACGGCCGCGACGAGAAGACGAGGAGCTGCGACACCAGCTCCGGGTGGTTCGCCGGCCGCGCGCGCGGCTTGAAGGCCGCGGCCGGGAGGAACGCGTGGCGATGCGGCGCGAGCGTTTCCTCCGCGAGCGGATCGAGGGCTCGGAGCGCGGCGAGGTGCGCCGAGTCGTGCCCCAGGCGCCCCGCCTTCGCGGGGGCGACGACGACGCACGTCGTGCGGTCGTCGAGGACGCCGGCGACGCGCGGCGCGAGCTCCGCGAGCGCCTCCGGGCAAAACGGCGGATTCGCGAGCACCAGGCGGTGCTCGCCCCCGTCGTCGGGGAGGCGGAAGGACCCGAAGGGGCCCAGCCCACCGAAGGGCCCGTCGACGCCCGGAAAGGCCGTGCCGAAGCGCCGCGGCCGCCGCGTGCGGCGGTGGTTGAGCGCCGACGAGTACGCTTCGAAGACGGTTCCCTCGGGCTGGCGCGCCCAGCGCTCGAAGGTCGCGTAGACGGCCGCGGGGATCGCCGCCTGGTTGCCGTTGGCCACGGTGTTGTAGTGGCAGAGGAGCGCGAACACGTCCGTCGCGAAGTCGCCGCCCTTCTCTCGCGCGTGCGCGCGCTTGAGCCACTGGAAGCGCTTCGCGTCGACGCTGAACTGCGCGCCGCCGTAGGACGCGACCCAGGCTTCCTTCGATGCGCGCGACACGGACGCGGCGCCGCCCTCTGGTAATCCCGCGGCGCCGGCCGCGCTCGCCTCGGCGAGGCCTTCGACGATCGCCGCCGCGGCGGACGGCTCGACGCCCTCGGCGGCGAGCTCCGCGGCGACGCGCGCCAGGCTCGACCGGCAGGGCAGCAGCGCGTCCGCGCGGGCGCCGCCGACGAAGGGCGACGCGTCGAAGGCCTGGAGCACGGACCGCTGCGAGGCCACGGGCAGCGTGCGCACGCCGGCCTTCAGGCTCCGCCGCAGCTCGAGGTAGCAGCGGCTCCGCGCGAGCGCCGCGGCGGCCATCGGTCTTTGCAGAGACGCTCACGCTCAGCGTTTGTGCAGAGATGCTCTCGGGTGTTCGGGAGCGATTGGAGCGACGCAAATTGCCATTGTCATGCTCTCAGTTCATGCTCTCTCGCCTCGCAGCTTCATCTTGAACTCAAGAACTGCATTCGGCATGGGCAGCCATCTCGCCGCGCTGCTCGCCCTCGCCTTCGTAGTCTGGTGAAGTTGGGGATCTAAGTGTTGCATTTGGCATGGGCAGCCTTCTCGCCGCGCTGCTCGCATCCGTCGCCTTCGTCGTCGCCCACTCCATCAACGACACGACGGTCGTGTCCGTGGCCTTGTCGCCGCACGCCATCCCCGACCGGCCGGGCTTCATCCCCCACGACCCGCGCTTTTGCATCTCGCCGCCGCCGTTCGGCAAGCAGTGCACGATGCACGCCACGGAGGCGCTCCGCGCCTGCCTGGGCCTGCGCGGCTGCCGCGGGCTCGTGTGCCCGGACCCGACGCCCTACGCGCGCGGCCAGCCGCGGCGGCGCATCACCGGGCCCGTGTGCCAGGCGCGCGGGCGTTTGGCCGCCGGCGAGCGGAACCACGACATGTGCAAGCCGAGGGGCTGCGCCCACGTCGCGGTCGACCGGCCGCCGGCGCCGACGGCCGCCGTGTCGCTGCCGGAGCGGCTGCCGCCCTGGCTCGAGGCGGGCCTCGTCGATCCGAAGTGGGTGCCGCTCGACGGCGGCGGCGGCGGCCGGCGGCGCTTCCGCGTCGTCGAGCCCTACGTCGAGGCGCCGCGCGACGCCGAGGCGCGCGAGCGGCCGCCGCTCCGACGGCCGCCGGGCGTCGCGGCGGAGCGGGCCGCGCGCGCGCACCGGCGGCGGCGGCCCGGTATGCGCTAGTAGGCTTCCTTATAGTCGTCGTCGGTGACGGCCGGGGGGCTGTGGCTGTTGGGCTGGACGCGCGTCACGTTGCCGAGGTCGCTGTGCGCGTGCGCGTTCGGGATCGCGCCGCGGCTCTCCTCGCGGTCGTCGCGCTTGTTCCAGATCCAGTCGTTCGGCCGCATGAGCGACGCGTCGACGCCCTCGACGGAGTAGTGGAGGCAGTGCTCCCATTCGAAGTCGTGGTAGACGTAGGGCACGCGCACGGCGTACTCCGGGTTCGCGGGGTCGAGCAGGTCGCGCCAGACGACGTTCGACAGCGTGCTCGAGTCGAGCGTCGCCTCCAAGTCGTCGCCGACGTCGTCGCTGTCGAGCTCGTAGTCGAACCAGACCAGCTTGTAGGACGGGTGCTGGCCCGGGCACGTGCCGCTGTCCGGGCCGTAGGGCCACGTGCTGTTCGTCATGTTGCCGCTCAACGCGAAGCGCTGCCACATGCGCTCGACCTCCGTGTGCGTCGCGAAGAAGGCCACGTCCATGGGCGAGTTCGACCCGAGCATGTCGCCCGTCAGCACGTCGACGTCGCAGACCGTCCGCAGGAGGCGCAGCTTCTCCGGCGCGCCCAACAGGTCCAGTTTCGCGCGCGCGCGGTCCGCCTCCCGGAAGCCGTCGAACGCGCCCGCGACGACCTGCTTCCAGAGCTTCGAGTCGGCGATGTCCTGGGCGTTTAATGTAGAATTGTCGTAGCCCGCCTGGAGCGCGCCGAGGCCGTGGCAGCGGCAGCCGCACTCCTTCTGCCTCAGGCCCGCGCACTCGCCCCTCGAGGGACACGACTTCGCGCCGCCCATCCACAGATTCTTCTGCAGGTCCGAGGACTTGTCCTTGATCTGGTCCAGGTAGTGGTGGTCGATGACGATCTTGCCGAGCTCGTCGTATTTCGCGCTGCAGTCGCCGAACGCGCCGCCGGCGAAGACGTGGACCGTGCCGTGGGGCGACACCTGAAGCTGGATCATGTAGTCCGCGAAGCTGGTGTACATGCCCTGCTGCTGGGCCCAGGCGACGCAGTCCGGGAACTGGGCGTTGTTCGCGCTGCCGCACATCTTCCGCGACCGCACGACCGTCGGCTCGCCGCGCTGGTTCCAGGGGCTCCGCAGCAGGCCGAAGGCGTTGCCCTGGTGCATCGTCGACGCCTTCTTCTGGCGCAGGAGGCTCAGGGCCGGGTAGGTGCAGACGTCGTCGGTCTGGCCGTAGCAGGACGCGAAGCCGTTCGTTCGGAAGTGGCCCGCGAAGCCGGAGTCGTTGAAGAGCCTCTCCGAGAGCAGGGGCACCTTCGTGTGGGCCCAGGCCCCGTCGACGATGACGCCCGTGTCCTCGTCGGAGGCGCCGAAGAAGTCCGCCGTCCAGACCGGCGACTCCCAGAGTCGCAATAAATCGCGGGACCCGTGCGACTTGTGCTGGCCGTTGGGCGCGCGATCTGTATATAACCACTTGTCGAGCGTGTAGTCCCAGTAGGGCATGGACACGGACGGGTCCACGGCCTGCATGGCCTGCTCAACCATGCCCCCGAGAGCCGCGTGGGCCGTCACGAAGGCGTAGCCCGTCGCGCCGTGGATGAAGTCGCACATGTTATTGCCCGCCAAATCGTTGTGGATGACCGCGACGTGGTGGATGTCCTTGTAGCGGTCGCCGTAGATTTCCACGCCGTCCGCCGTCGACACCTTCCAGAGCGTCGACGCCGCCGCGGCCCAGGCCGCGCGGTCTTCTCTCGTCAGCTGGCGGATCTCCCTCCGGACGTACTTGACGTAGAGCGTGACGTTGAGCGCGCTCGCGACGCCGAGCGCGCCCGTCTCCGCGACCGTGAGGAAGCGGTAGATGCCCGTCTTGTTGAAGCGGACGTTGAGGTCCGGCCCGGCGCCGGACGCGACGCCGCTCCAGGCGTACGTCGCGCCGGCGCCGCCGCCCTCGATCCTTAGGACGTAATCGCGGTGCGGCTCCACGAGGACGGCGTCGGCTTTGCCGAAGAGGAAGGGGTAGTAGGACGTGTTCAGCCGCCCGTAGCCTTCGCTGTAGGCGCCGACGCGGAACGGCGTCGCGGCCTCGCCCGCGGTCGTCGCGTCCGCGGTCGCGAGCGCCGCGACGGGAGGCGGCGGGCCGCGCGTCGCGGCGCCGACGAGCAGCGCCGCGGCGACGGCGCCGGCGACGACGGCGGCGCGGGGCCAGCGCCGCCGGTCGCCGACGGCGATGCCCTCCGGCGCCGGGCTGCCGGCCTGCTGATAGCCGGCCTCCATCACTTAATATGCTGCCCCGGCGCAGGATTCGTGAAGTCGTGGGTGCCGCGCAAGCAATGTTAGTAGAAACGCGCGGGCTTGGCACTCGGGCGCCCCCCTCTCACGTCTCCATGGCGTCGGCCGCGGGCGCGTCGTCGACGGCCATGTTCTCGGCCTGCGCGGCGGCGGCGTCGATCTCGACGGTGTCGAGGTACTTCTGGACGTCGCCGTCCTCGATGATCTGGGTGGCGGCCTCGCCGGCGGCGGCGTCGAAGGACACGATGGCGAGGCTCGCCGACGCGGCGTCGAGCTCCTTGTCGCCCGCGACGCAGCCCGCCAACCCCTTCAACGCGTGCTTGCAGAGCTCGTCGACGCCGCAGCCCTTGAAGGCGTCGACGTGCTTCTCGAGGTAGGTCTTGGCGCTCTGGGCCCGCGCGCCGATGGCGACGGCGACGTACTCGTTGTAGTTGCCCGACGGGCACGTCTCGTAGAGGTGCGGGCCCGTCGCGTCGACGCAAGCGACGAGGAGGCCGACGCCGTAGGGCCGCCGCACGTACATCTGCGTGCAGCGCTGGTACTTGTCCGCGATGTCGAGGACGAGGCGCGCGCCCTGGAGCGGCGCGCCGTAGACGTAGCGGTGGTTGAGGCACTCGGTCCGCATCGTCTTGGCGAGCGTCCGCGCGTCGGCGTTCAGGCCCGCGACGGCGATGGTCATGTGCTCGTCGATTTTCAGGAGCTTGCGCTGGTAGCCCGACAGCTCGTTGGGCTGGCGCTTGAGGGCGGCCAGCACGACGCAGCCCTCGCCGACGATGCCGAGGCACGCGGACCCCTGCTTGACGGCCTCCATGGCGTACTCGACCTGGAGGAGGCGACCCTGGGGGCTCCACACCGTCACGTCCGTGTCGTACTGGGAGCGGAACATGGTCGCGGACGCGGGGGCGGCTCAGGCGCCCCGGTTCCCCTGCGCGCGCGACGACTTGGCCGTCGAAAGGCGCTCACTCGAGCAGGCACAGACCGCGAGCGTCTCGTGGGCGCCAGATTTTGCCCCGGCGGCGACCCGGCGTCGTCGCCGCGCGCTGGCGCAGGCGCGCGCCGATCCGGACCCCTAGCACCCACACGGACCCATCCTCCGGAGTGTGCACAGCTCCTGCCGACCAACATACCCAGTAGGTTTTAAACACGCCGCGTCACCCCGCGGCCTCGCGCGCGGCCTCGTCGGTGAGGTACCGGAGGATCGCCTCCGTGCCCGGCCCGTCGACGTCGTCGTCGTCGCCCGCGAGGACGCCGCGGAACGCGTCGAGGGCGCCGTCGTCGCGGTCGACGAAGCGCAGGCTCCGGTCCGGGTCGCCGGCGTCGCCGTCGAAGAGCGCCGCGCGGTCGCCTGGGCAGGACAAGGGTGATTCAACGTCGCTTCAACGTGAGTGTTCCGCGCGCGCGCGTTCCGGGAAAAGCATCCACGCTTCGAGACCGTTCCGAGAGATGATCGCTCGTCCAAAAATCAGCCGAAACGAGTGGAAAACGGCCGAGATATGAGCCTTTGAAGTTGGGAATTTCGCTCTCTTGTCCTGCCCTGGCGATCGCCCGACGCGCGGACGCAGGCCTCGACCTCGCGCAGGAACTCCGGCGCGTCGTCGGCGTAGGCCCGCGCCGCCGCCGCGTTCTTCGGCGCCTCGTAGCCCTCGAAGCCGTCCTTGATGTAGAAGATCTTCTTGAGGAACGTGAGCACGGTCACGACGTAGTGCTTCGCCGGGTCCCACTCCGGGTAGGCGAACTTGACGTCGAGCTCGCCGCTCTCCGCGTCGACGAGGGGGCTGTAGATGCGGCTCGTGAAGAAGACGCGCGGCCACGCGCCGACGTCGTTGTACTCGGGCGGCAGCTCGACGCGGAACTTGAAGACGCCGCTCGCGTACATGCCGCGGCGCACGAAGATGACGCCGTGCCACGTGCGCAGGTCGGCGAAGGACGGCACGACGTAGATGCCGCCGGGGCTGTTCTGCTTCAGGTGCTTGTACTCGACGGTGAGCTTGTAGTCCTTGATGGCCTGGGCCCGCCGCGCCTCGATGCCCGACATCTGTTGTGGTGTGCTGCGTGGTCCCTCTCGGGTGCGGCGGAGTCCTGCGGTCGGCGCGGCGGCGCGTGGCACGTCTGGTGGCGGCTTACGGCGCAGCGCGAGGCGCGCGAGCGCACACCATCGTTGTGGCAAAAGACTCGACCGGCCGGTCCAGTTTAGCGGACGGAGCCATGCTCGTCGCGCTCCTCCTCGCGCACGGCGCAGCGTTGAGCGCGCCGCGCGCAGCCTTGAGCACGCATCGCGCGCAACGCACGGCCCTCTCTGCGAAAAAACGCGACTACATGAGCGGCGGCCTCGGGTCGAGCAAGCAGGAGAAGTTCGCCCAGCTCTGGCGCAACCGCAACGACCCCGAGGCCGAAGCGGAGGCGCCGCCGACGGACCTCGCGGCCTGGGAGAAGGAGATCAAGCGCGCCGAGGCCGCCGACGCTTTGGTGCCCGACGCGAACTGGCGGCTCCGCGGCGCCGCGGGCAAGGCGGCCGGCGCGGCGACGTCGGACACGGCGCGGTCGCTCGCGGCGGGCCGCGCCGTCTCCTCCGGCGCCTGGACGGAGCTCGTCGGCAGCGACGGCGCGGGCTACGCGGCGGCCGGCGGCGACGGACGCCGCGGCGCAGGCGCTCCACGACAAGCTGCCGCGCAAGGTCGCCTACGTCGTCGCCGTCGCCACCGGCGACGCCGCGGGCGCGGCGAAGCGGCGGAAGAAGCGGCTCGGCGGCAAGCTCGCGAGCCTCTACGACCCGGGCCGCGGCTTCCCCGGCGCCTGCGGCGTCGGCGCGGAGGCGCGCTGCCTCGTGCTCGCGCCGCCGCACCCGTCGCCCGACGCGCACACCATCGTCGCCAAGTTCCCCGCCGACGCCGCGGCCGCGGCGTCGCTCCCCGACGCGATCACCTCGGCCCTCGCGGAGAAGCGGATCCTCAACGCGAACGGCATGAAGCGGTCGTAACGTGACTCTCTAACGTGACTCCGGTACGTTCGGAGCGCTGTTACACCGACGACTGGCGGCGGAAGCTCAGGGAGGGCCGCCAGCCCGTCGACCGGGACCGCGCCGCGCGCGGTCCCCCGGGGGGCGACGCCGGGGGGCGATCTCGCGGCGACTCGGGCGGCGCGGCGGACCGGAGGACCGCGGCGCGCGTCCGGGTCCCGACGGCGCCGAAGGCGCGCGTCTTCGCGAGCGCGAGGATGACGGCGACGCGCTTGTGCCCGTGGAGCCGCGCGAGCGAGAGCGGCGTGTGGCCCTCGAAGAGCGAGCCCGGCGGGAGCTTCGACGCGCGCTCGACGCCCTCGGCGGCGACGAGGGCGGCCGCGGCGTCCGCGTGGCCTTTCCACGCCGCGCAGTGGAGCGCCTGGAAGCCGTGCGCGTCGCGGAGGTTCGGGTCCGCGCCCGAGGCCACGAGCAGCGCGACGACGGCCGCCCGGCCCTTGCGCGCCGCGAGCACGAGCGCCGTGCAGCCGCCGTCGTCGCGGCGGTCGACGTCCGCGCCGTGCGCGACGAGCACGCGCGCGACGTCCGCGTGGCCGCGCGCCGCCGCCGCGTGGAGCGCCGTCGTGTGCCGCGCGCCGCCGTCCGGCGACACGCCGCGCGCGAGGAGGAATTCCACGACGTCCGCGCGGCCGCGCTTGCAGGCCAGCATCATCGCGACGCGCCGCGGCGGGCCCCGGGGCCGCCGCGGCGCCGCCGCGGCCTCCTCCGGCTCGTCGCCGAGCATCCCGTCGACGACGTCGCGCCAGTCGCCCGGCGCCTCGGGCGGCGCCGCGCCGTACCAGAGCAGCGAGAGCCAGCTCGGTCGCTCCGGGACGTCGCCGGGGACTTCGAGGGGCCCCGGGGGCACCAGGCCCTCGCAGACGCAGCACGTGCCGTCGCAGAGCTCGCAGGGCGCGCCGACGCGGCACGTCGGGCAAATCGGGCAGCCGCAGCGCCGGTCCGCCGGGTAGCCCGACCGGGCGTCGACGTGTGTCGCGACGTCGCGATTCTCGCAGCCCGCGGACCACGTGCCCCGGGCGCACAGGCACGCGGACCGCTTGCCGCGGAGCCGCAGGTTGTCGTCGCCCGTGGCGCCGCAGGCGTAGCACCACGCGGCGCCGCAGGCCGGGCAGCCGCCCGTCGACGGCGAGATGTGGTGGCACGCGTGGCCGTGGAAGTGCGTCGTCCGCGCGCCGCAGCCCGGGCAGCCCCGGGACGTGAGCCGCACGAGGCGCGACGTCGTCGGGTCCCGGGTTCTGTTCGCCCGCGCCTCGCAGGAGCTGAAGAGGAAGCCGTGGCCGTCCCAGGGCTCGCGGCAGGCCGCGCAGCTCTCGTAGCCGCATCCCGCGCAGGGGACGCGCGCCGGCGCGTCCGCGACGGCCACGTCGGCGACGGCGCCGCAGCGCGGGCAGGCCAGGCGCCGCTCGCGCGGGATCAGCGCCGCCGCCATGAGCGCGCCGAGCGCGCCGACCTCCTCGTCCGTGAGCGCTTCGACCGGCGTCGGCGGCGCGCCGCGCGTCGCGCGGTCGTCGGGCAGGAGCGCCGCGCCCTTGTCGCGGACGTTTCGGGCCGCGTCGAGGTCGACGCGCGCGCCGCACCCGGGGAAGACGCAGGGCACGCCGCCGGACGTGACGCGCCGCCTCTCGCCGAGGGCGTCGCGAAGGATCTGGCTCGTGCAGCCGACGCAGATCTCGTGGCCGCAGTCGGCGACCTTGCAGAAGGCGTAGTCCGGCCAGGTCTCCGCGCACGCGACGCACTCGCGCGCGACCATCGAAAAGTCCGTGCAGCTGCAAAGGCACCAAGCCTCCGCGCCTACGGTGCCTCACCCGCGGGGCTGCCGCCAGACGGGGGTGCGGCCATATGAAAATTCAACATGCCACATCCCAAAGCACTGTCCCAAAGGTGCCGCTCTCGCCTCAGGCCATCACGGAGGCGAAAGAAGCGTCTATGGGCAACAAGCTGAGCGCTGCGGGCCTCGGGAACGACGACTCGTCGCGCCGCAAGGCCGAGCGCTCCCAGCTCAAAAAGAAGGACCTCAAGAAGGAACAGGAGCAAAAGGCCAAGGAGCGCAAGGAGCGCCTCAAGGCCCTCGAGGACGCGCGCGCGGGCCACGGCAAGCGCACGTCCCGGGGCGCCGCGGAGCTCGACGCGCTCAAGAAGCAGCAGTCCGTGCGAACCGACCCCGGCGCCGCGTGGCCCGAGCCCAAGTGAGCATGGCGTCGCTCGCCTACGCGTCCGAAACCGGCACGGCCAAGGACCTCGCGTGGCGCTGCTGGTCCTACCTGTCGCTCCGGGGCGTCGACGCCGCGGAGCCCCGGCCCCTCGACGACGGCGATGTATTTGGGCGACCGGACGCGCCGCTGACCGTCGTCTTCGCGGCGACCTGCGGCGACGGCGCGTGCCCCGGCGACTCCAAAAAAACGTGGGCGCGGCTCCTGTCCAAGGCCGCGCCGCGCCTCGACGGCGCCCGCTACGCCCTCTACGGCCTCGGCGACGCGCGCTACGGCCACAAGTTCTGCGCGTTCGCGCGGAAGCTCGACGCGCGCCTCGCGCAGCTCGGCGCGGCTCCCGCGGTGCCGCGCGCGCTCGGCGACTCCGCGACGGCCGCGGGCGTCGAGGGGCCCCTGGCTTCCTTCCTCGCGGCCCTCGCGGGGTCGCTGGGCGTCGACGACGGCGACGGCCGCGTCGGCGACGAGGCGCCCGCGTCCGCGGAGGCCTACGCGCCGGGCTACGCATCCAGGAAAACCGACGCTCCCGCCGACGACGGCGACGGCTACGACAGCGCCGCGCTGGCCCTGGGCTGCTTCGACGCGTCGCCGCCCGCGGCGGCGACGCTGGAGGCGACGGCGCGGCTCACGGCCGACGACTGGTGGCAGGAGGTGCGGCACGTCACGTTCTCGACGGCCGCGGCGTACGGCGCGGGCGACGTCGCCGTCGTGCTGCCGCGCAACGCCGACGCGGACGTGGGCCGCGCTTTGGCCATCCTCCGCCGGCGCGACGCGGCCCTGGGCCTCGACGAGACCTTCGCGTTCGAATCGCGCCGGGGCTCGCAGTTCCGGCCGCCGCGGCCGCCGCTGCCCGGCGCCGCGACGCTGCGCCGCGTCCTGAGCGCCTGCCGCGACCTCGGCGCGCCGCCGCGGCCCGAGGCCCTGGGCATCATGGCCCTCTTCGCGAGCGACGCGGAGCAGCGCGACAAGCTCGTCGAGCTCGCGACGGCCAAAGGCCGGAACTTCTTCCGCGAGTACGTGAGGTCGGAGCGGCGGTCGCTGCTCGACGTGCTCGAGGACTTTGACAGCGCGGCGCCGCCAGTCGACGCGCTCCTCGACGCGCTCGACTGGCTGCGGCCGCGGCAGTACTCCATCGCGTCGCCGCGCGGCGGCGAGTCGCTCGAGCTCTGCGTCGCTCGCGCGCGCTACGACACGCCCCTGGGCCAGCGGCGCTTCGGGCTGGCGTCGTCCTGGCTCTGCGGCCTGCGACCGGGCGCGCGCGCGCTCGTCGCGGTGAAGCGCGGCGCGTTCGCGGCGCCGCCGGACGCGGCGCCGCTCGTCTTCGTGGGCCCGGGCACGGGCGTCGCGCCCGCGCGGGCCATGATCGCCGCGCGGGCGCCCGGGGCGCGCACGCTCCTCTTCTTCGGCTGCCGCGACGAAAAAAAGGACCGGCTCTACGCCGACGAGTTCGCGGAACGGTACCCGGGCCTCGACGTCGACGTCTCCGTGTCGCGCCACGCGGAGCCCGCGAAGCGGCGCCGCGTCACGGCCGCGCTCCGCGCGCGCGGCGCCGAGGTCGTCGACCTGCTCCTCACGGGCGGCGCCCACTTCTTCGTCGCGGGCAACGCGCAGATGGCGTCCGACGTGACGGACGTTTTGCTCGACGTCCTCGTCGCGCACTGCGCCCAGCTCGACGCGAAGAAGGCCGGCGCGCTGCTCCGCAAGCTCGACCGCGAGAAGCGCTTCGCCGTCGAGGGGTTCGGCTGAGCGCTCGGGCGTAAGGGACGGCGCTGGCGTAGCCTTGGCGTGCGCGAGGCGGTCGACTTGGGGGTCGACGCGCGGCGCGCTCGAGGCCTCGCTCGACCGGCTCGTGACCGGCTCGCCGCTCACGCTCACGAGCTTCCGCGACCCAGCCAGCGAATCCCACCAGAAGCGAGCAAAATGGACGGCCCTACGCGCGCTTCTGCGTCCCCGTTTTGCAACACGCGCGCCCCCCTCTCGCCCGCCATCATCTCCTCGTCGACGCCCAAAGTTTTTCTACAAAAACCGCGGCGATTCGATCGAGAAGTTCGAGACTGTTTCAATAGGTACATCAAAGTGTTCAGCGGCGTCATGGGCATGTATGGTATGCGCCGGCGTCACACACGCTCGGGAGTACCTCCGTCCCCGCGAAAATCTCGACTCGTCCGCCCGCCTCGCGTCGCGCGCGAGCCGCCGCGACTCGGCGCGGAAGGATACGCCGAATCCGCCCGCGGTGAAGCCAGAGAAGCCCCCCCCCAACGGTCCACCGGCCCGGCCCTGTTCTGGAAGCACTCCCGCCCGCCCGCAGGCGCGCAGATGCTCTTCGTGCCCCAGAAGATGGTCACGGACCACTTCGACGCGCCGGCGACGCCGCTGCTCCAGTTCTGGATCCGCGGCTCGTCGTGCGCGTTCCTCGGCCTCGTCTACACGCTCTACACGAAGGTGCCCGTCGCCGAGGCCCTGCCCATCGCGACGGCCGTGTCCTTCGCCTGCGGCGCACTCTACCCGTGGAACGCCAAGTTCGGCTACATCTCGCCGGGCCTGCCCGTCAAGTACCCGATGCACTACGTGCCCGAGATCCTCATGGTCGCGCTCACGGTCCTCGGCATCAAGGCCATGATGTAAGGGGATCCCAGCAGCAGCGACACCCGCCGCTCCCCGCCGCGGCGCCCGCAACGGGCGGTCCGCCGGGTCCTAAGAGAGTCACATCACACTATGTCCGCGTCGCGGTCGCGGTCGCGGTCGCGGGGGCGCGTGACCTAGTACGCGCCCCGGTGGAGGTCGTCCCGCGCGGCGACGAGCGCCTGGGCCTCCGCGGGCTGGAGGTGCATGTCGGCGACCAAATCCGCGGCGCTGAGGTAGCTGAGCGTGTCGAGGTCGATCTCCTCGGCCGCGAAGACGCCGTGGAGGTGCTCGAGGCGGCACGACGCGAGGAGGCCCCGGAGGTCGCGCGGCGGCGCGGCGGGCCACTCCTCGGCGGGCCGCGGGGATGGGCGCGAAGTGGCGCGGCGAGACGGCGCGCGACGCCTCCATGGCGCGCTCGACGTCGGCCGCGTCGTAGTCGATGCCGGAGCCGCGGCCCCAGTGCTGCGCCGGCTGGAACTCGGCCGCGGAGAGCGCGAGCGCGCGCTCGAGGTCCGCGTCGAACTCCGAAGTCTCCGCGGGACCGCCGCCGCCGCTCTCGCGCAGGCTCTCGGCGATGACGCGGTCGAGCTCGCGGGCCTCGCGCGCGCGGGCCTCGTCCTCGGCCGAGCGCCGCGGTGGCGGCCGCGGCGCGGCCGCGCGCTCGGCCTGCTGCGTCGCGGCCCACTTGGCGCTGCCCACGGGCGCCGCGGGCGCCCGGGGCTTCTCCTTGCGCTCCGACGGCAGGTCGTCGTCGGCCGACAGGCCGAGCGCGATGCGCTCGCAGCGCGGGGAGCAGTAGGAGCTGCCGGGCTTCGCGGCCTTGGCGCATTTGAAGCCGATGTCGTCCTCGGCCCGGAGGCAGCGGCGGACCTTCGCGGGCTGGCGGAAGTTCTGCGTGGCCTTGCCCTGCTTGTTCGTGATGCTGCACACCGCGGCGTTCTTGTCCGCGACGCGGGCCGGTGCGCCCTTGGCCTTGGCGCCCGACTTGGGTTTGGCGCCCGTGTTTTCGACGAACGCGAAGCGGTCGAGGCCGAAGGTCGTGACGAGCTTGTTCGCGCGCTTGTCGCAGAGGCCGTCGCAGCTCTCCTTGAACGTCGCGACCCAGTTGGCCAGAAAGTAGAGCTTCATCTTGCAGCGCGGGCACCGGCGGCCGTCGGCGGGCGGCGCGTCGAGGAGTTGGCACTCCGTCGGCATGGCGTCCCACTTCGTCCAAAAGTCCTCGTCGTGCTCGAGGCGCATCCTCGCCGCCCAGGCGAGGCCGTTCTCCTTCTTCTGCTTGTGCTGCGCGGAATCGTGGCGGGACATGGTCGCGAGTTGGCGCGCGGCAGGCCCCTCAGATCGAAAGGCCAGGCCCAGACGCCGCTTCGCACGGCACCCGCTTTTGGAAATCCAGAGGCCATTTGTTTGACGCTCACAAAAGCAAAGTTTACCCATGTTTTGATGGCTTCGGACGAAAGCACGCGGTCTCGGACGAAAGCACGCGGTCCGACGAACCTCGAAGAGACACGCGATGGGCATGTAATCACCAAAGGCAGCCCCCTAGCGCCGCGCGCCTACCACGGCGCCCATGGCCCCCGCGGCGACTCCCGAGGCGCGCAACAAGGGCTGCACGCTGCAAAAGAAGCGACGCGAAACGAATTGCAACTCGGCGAGAACGGGTGGTTTTAGGGGGTCCTGTGGGTCGTGATCGGGCCACGCGACCCGAATTTGGCTGCCTCGGACGCGGTGCAGCGTCGGAGATCGTTCATAGACACCCCGGGTGCCTTCCGTCGCGCGGGTTTGGCCGTGGAGGCCCAGGTTGTCGATAGAGAGTGCCCCGAGGTTGTGCGCCGCGGCCTCGCGCCGCGCCGTCCCGGGGCCGGAGGTCGCAAAAGTAAGGTAATAAAAGTTGCGGAACCCATTCCTGGTACCATGGGGCGGCCAAAAACGCTCGAATATTACGTTACTTCGACGGCGCGCCCCTTCCAGCCCACCGCCGCGAGCGCGGACGCAGTGTCGCGTAACTCGGCAAAGACGTCATGAAATAGGACCGCGTCTTCGACGACGCAGCCCCCAAGACGCGCGCGCAGGGCGCCGCCGGCTTGGCGCGGGCCGAGCGGCCCGCAGTGGGGCGGCACGGGGCTGCCGAGCGGAAGGAGTTCTCCATAAGACCGAGTTCCAAAAGCTCCTTTTCGATGATATCAAGCGGCCGTGTTCGGTGCCCCAAGCTGTCGGCGATGCCCTGCGCTTGCAGTTCACCACCGGCTCGACGAACCGGCGCGACCTTACGCGCGCCCGCTCAGACCTGCGCCTGGAACGTCGCGCCCGGCGGCAAACCCGGCGGAATCTGGACCTGGGCTTGCCGGCCGTCGGGCAGGCCGAACATGCAGACCGCGCCCGGCGCGGCGCCCGGCGGCACCTGGAGCGTGACGACCTGCGGCTGCGCGATCACCTGGGCGACGGGCGCCTGGGGCTGCATCTCCATCGGCGGCGCCATCATCTGCTGCGGCGGCGCCATCATCTGCTGCGGCGGCGCCATCATCTGCTGCGGCGGCGCCGCCATCTGCTGCGGCGCGGGCGCGACCTGCTGCGCCGACACGTTGGACGCCACGAGCCCGTCGACGAGCATCGGCGAGTCGCTCAGGATGACCACCGGGTATTTCTCCGTGAGCGACGCCCAGGACCTCTTGTCGAAGTCCTCCCAGCCGTTCCGCTCCATGTAGTCCGGCGTCACGTGGCCGCCCATGAGCGGGCTGAGCGCGATGGACGGCGGCGCGCCCTCGACCATGCCGAGCGCGGCGACGGCCTCCCCCAGCTGGAAGCAGGCCTCGGAGGCGCGCAGCTGCTTGTTGCCCGACCCGAAGAGGTGCCACTCCTGCGTGGACCTGCCGTGCCTCGCCATGAGCTGCAGGAGGCCCGGCGACGGGTCGCTGCCCTGCCCGAGGAAGAAGTCGTAGGAGCCGGACCGCTCGCCCGCGTCGGTCTCCGAGAAGACCTGGACGGGCGTCGTCGCCGCGTTGATGTAGACGGAGCCGCCGACGTCGTCCGCGAGGAAGAAGTCGCGGCCCATGCGCTCCTCGACGACGGTCACCCAGCGCCGGTCGTCGCCGCTCTGGACGAGCTCCTCGACGCGGACCTCGTAGTAGACGCAGAGCTTGCCCGAGATCGGGGCCTGGAGGCAGCCCGAGTGGGCGGCCATGGCGCAGCGCCCGACGATCTTCTGCACCTCGCCGGTGCGCGCGTTGCTCGGCAGCGTCCCGGGGAACTTCGACAGCACCTTGCTGATCCGCTGGTCCTGCGACACGCAGCAAAAGCACACGTTGCCCATGGCTGCAGGCAGCGCGGCGAGCTCGAGCTCGAGACGAGCAGTGGGCGCTGCCCCGATCGAGCAGTGCAAACACCACGGTGTTCAACAACATCTGTTTTTGATGCGTCTGTCTGGCAAACGTGGGGCAGCCTGCTTTTTGTTCGGACAGACGCCGTGCGTCGCGCGCCTGGCGCCGGGTTCGCGGTCCGCAGCGGTCCGCGGACGTGCGTGACCCGTCCCGCGCCTCGCGCATCACCCGTCCCTCGCCCGCGACGTTCGCGCTCCGGCAGCCCCGGAGGCGCGCAGGCGCCATGCGGAAGGGGACATTCATCCTCCTGGCGGCCGTCGCGCGCGCCGCGGCGGAGGGCGCGCCGTGGACGGCGGCGGCGGGCGCGTCGATGTCGACCGGCGCGTCGATGTCGACCGGCGCGTGCCAGTCGCGGTGGACGGCCGCGGTGCTCGAGCACTGGCGGGGCTGGGAGGAGGCCCTGCCGCGGCCGACGATGCGCTGGCGGTCGCTCGGCAACGCGTCCTTCTCGGGCAAGCGGCGCGTGAAACTCCTCGCCAAGCACTACCCGAAGATCGGCGACCTCGAGCGCCCCGCGGACGTCGACGACGCGCGGGAGCCGGACGGAGCGCTCCTGCGGGCCGGCTTCGCCGCCTTCGTCTTCGTCGTCCTCCTCTGGCGGTGCAACGACGACGCCTATTTCGAGGAGCGCCGTTAAGGATTACATGCCCCCGACGTCCCGCCACGCGGCCCGGTTCGCCGTGGCCTTGACCGCGGCGACGTAGTCGCGGACGCGGCCGTGG